TCTTTCCTCTGCCCTCTGTGGCAGCAAAGGCACTTAAAGAAGCCCAAAGTTCTGCTGAATATTATTTAAAAGCCATGAACTTAGTAGTCTCTGTGGACTTTCCAGTTCTAGAATTCACTATGTGCTAAAGCCAAAGGTTTCCTAATCCTTATCCACACAGTTTAGAAACCTTGATACACTCATTTAAAAGTTAGTATATGACATGTGCTCAACGAGTGAAAAATGAAAAACACCTATTTCTATGTGTATACTTGAACAGATTGTAAAATACTATTTACAAAGTTTTCAAAGTAAACATCATTGGGACCAGCAGGTGGCGTGGTGGTTAAGAATGCTGGACTCCCACTTGGCCAACTTCGTTTTGAGTCCCAGAATTGATGGCTTGCTTTCTCATTTTCTCTTTCGCGCGCACACACGTGCGCTCTCTCTCTCGCTCTATCCTTCTCTGGTCAAATTAAAATAAAGTTTAATAAAATAATTCTTTTTAATAAAGTAAACATCATTAAAAATTACACATTCAGACTAGCCATGGTGGCTCAGTGGCAACACAACATTCCACGATGCTGAGGCCATACAGAAAAGTCTTGGGTTCCTGTTCCAAGCGCTCCCAATATATGCAAAGTACATGCAGGTACCCATGATCCTGACTGACTAAGGCTGTGGAATAGGATCAAAATACTAAGCCTCCATTGAGGGGGTGGGTCTATTTGTCTGTCTGTCTCTCTCTCTCTGTCTCTGTCTCCCTCTCTTGTAGAAGCAATAAATAAACTTTTTTTAAAAATTGGGACTGGCAGGTGGCATGGTGGTTAGAGGTGCTGGACTCCTACATGGATGACCACAGTTCAAGTTCCAGACCTGGCAACTTGCTTTCTGACTTTCCCAGTTGCTTTCTCAATTCCTCTTCAGTTAAATTAAAAAATAATAATGATGATAACAACTAAAGTTAAATAAAATAGTTATTTTTAAGAATTATGTAGTTATAATATTCAGGAACAACAACAATGATAGTATTTGCAATCACATGCTCTACGAACTAGTTCCATTCATCCAGTTACCACAAATTACCCTGAGAAATGAGCAGTGTAAATGACTAGGAACTAACTGATACATTTTTCATTAATCCATCCTCACATCCCATGGAATATATGTGGTACTTTAACACTACTTTCAAACAACCCTGTTAAGGAGAAAAATAAAATATCCATACCTTTACAGAGATTTTTGTACAGGCTCTCAATAGTCAAAAGCAAGCTCTTTTCCACAATTAATCCAAATACAGCCAACCAATGTTTTTTAAAACACTGTAATAAATGTATTAGAGTCCATGGTGGTTTCAAGTACAGCATCTTATTTAGAAAAAGAAAAAAAAATTTTTTTTAAATTAGCATCTATAGATTTACTTATTATTCCTATTATTACAAAGTACCTACTGGAAACCAGCAGTTAGCGTAATGGCTATGTCGCTGGACTCCCACGTAGTCGACCGCAGTTCGCGTCCTGGACCCGGTGGTTTAAAACTCACGCCGGGCACGTGTGTGTGCGTGCCCAAGATCCCGAGAGGAGAATGGAGGAGAAGGGACTGCAGCGTGACCATCCCCCCTGGGGGGTGATTTCTCGCTTTCTGTCTCTCTGTCTCTCTCTGTCTGTCTGGCGAGCGCAGGCACCCTATAGTGAAAACCTCTCAAAAAAAAAAAAAAAGTACCTACTTAGGAATTCCTTCATATTACTTCTGGGCAAAATATACTTAGTTGAATTCTTAATTAAAAGTCAATCATAATCTTAAAATGCTAATTCCACTACAAATTGATTTTATGAAATTCATATTAGCATTACTACTTAGTTATAGAAACTACATGTACAAAAACATGGCACAGTTCTAATCAGAGGAAGGATAGTGTAAGTCAGCAAAGGTTACTTTTCATCACAATTGTTTCTATGATAAAATCAATCTAATTATTTCATGTACTTGAAGAAAAAAACCTACACAGAAGAAAAGACAGTTGGAGGCATGGTGATTTAGGGAGCTGGATCCCACAAGGCCGACTGCATGGTTCAAGTCTCAGATGCGGTAGTTTGAGAAACATGCCAGCTGTGTGTGCGTACATGCCCAAAATCCCAAGAGTAGAAATGCAGAAGGGATTGTGGCATGACTGTTTGCTTGAGGGTGTGCTTTTTTGCCCCTCCCCCATCTCTCTCTGACAAGCACATACTCACTAGCAAATTTAAGAAAAAAAAAAACAGATGTTAAATATAACCATTACTTGCTACACGCTTGCAAAGACACATTAATAAAGATTATTATATCTGTAAATTGATTATTAGATCTGTAAGATGTCAACACTCCCTTTTCTAAATCACTTGTATGAAATGAATTTCCTTATTTCTACTGTAAAAAATGTAATTCAAATCAACCTTCCGAGTATCTTCAGATCATTCTTCATCTTAGCTTGACAATAATATAATCAAATGGCAAACAAATCATTTTGATATGGTATGTTTCTCAAATATGAGAAAGTCACTGAAAAGGTGAAATATCTAGCAACAAGATACAATTGATGGAGAATAATGTTTCTCTTCACTATAAATGTGAACAGCAAATATTAAACTGAATTTTTAATATAACTATTGGTAAATTTAGTGTTTCAAAGAATTGTTTATTTAATTCCATTAGTTATTACTTCTTAATTTCATTAGAGACAGGGGGAGAGAGAGAGAAAGAAAAAGTGAGAAAGCAAGCTGCCAGGACTGGGACTTGAACCATAGTCGCCCATGTGGGAGTCCAGTACCCTTAACCACCACATCATCTGCTGGCCGCTCTTTGTCATATTTTCTAAGACATAAGTCAAAATATATACTTTTTTTTCTGAATATAAATGCTAGGAGAATGCTAGGGAAATTCCTTATGTTAGACATTGTTGACTCGAAGCGAGAGAAGTATTTCTAAATTCCATTTGCGCTCCACAGGGGTGTAATGCATCTGACAAAAAGTAGACTCATAATAAATGTGCTGACTGAAAAAGTAAGTCATGGGCCAGCAGGTGGCATGGTGGATAAGGCACCCACATGGCTGAGCAAAGTTCAAGTCTGACCCGGAGGCTTAAAACTCATGCCAGGCCCATGTGGATGCCAGCTCCAATCCCAGAAGAACAATGGAGGTCAAGCGATTACAGAGTGGCCATTCCCCTGGAGGGGTGATTCCTCATTTTCCCTCTCACTCTCTCTCTGTCTCTTTCCTCTTTGGCAAGCGCATGCGTCCATGGCAAAAACCTTTAAAAAAAAAAAAAAAAGTAAATGATAATGTGTAGTACTAATCTTTAAGAAACGTCTATCATTTAACTGTCAAAAAAATTAAATTTCAAAAACTTGAAGAAAAAGTTTCATGTGATATAAAGTACAGTAAAAACATACATATTTTATATAAGAACTATTCCTTAAAATAAGATACAAATGTTCTGCAATTAAAAAGCATTTTTCAACTTAACAGAGTTGAACCAATCACCTCCATCCAGAGGTCTCCAAAAGCAATTTTCATTTCTGTTTCTAATATTGAAGATAAAGCTGTTCCGAGAGCTTTTTCAAGCTGAGATGTGACACTTTCAAGTAGAATGGACAGTCCAGACGTTGTAGATTCTTTCTCACAGTTCTCTTCCAAGGGCGCTGCTTCTTCAAAGCAAGTAGTTACATGGTTTATTTAGGGTGCTAATAGTAAATATTATACATATATAATTAGTACTTGGCCTTAAATAATAATTTCATGTATATAATTAACATTTGAATTGCCCAGAAAACAATACTGTATTTCTGAAGAAATATTTAGAAACATGTTATCTCTACTATAGTTATTTCAGATACAACAAATTACTTTAGCAAGTGCTTTTACCTTTTTGACAAAAAGCAACTAAGTATTTTTACTCAAAAAGAAAGGCAAGAAATGTTAGTTTTATTATTTTTTTAAAGAGAAGAATTTTTAGGACTTATTTACAACAAAAATACAAGAACTATGGATCAAGATGGGTTTTCTTCTCAAAATAAGAAAATTTTCCATACAAACTCAGCCCATATCAATGAGTTGTTCTGAAAGGACCAAAATTTCTAGTTTAACCACTTCATGTCCTACTCTTTTAAAAAGAGCTTTCATTATCTTAAATTAGATCATTTCATTAACATTACTTTTTTTAACATCTGAAAACAATTTTCTTTAGGCAAATTCAAAATAGTAAGTGGCTTACCTCTGCAAATACAAAGTAAGAATTTAAAGTAACAATAACATGGGCCATCCCCTGGCCTAGTGGCTAAGGCAGCTACATTGCACATGGTTCAACTCCTGGACCTGGCAATAGGTGTATATGTGCCCAAAATCCCAAAAGGAGGGAGGAATGAAGAAGGGATTCCAGCATGACCATGCTGGGAGGGGAAGAAGAGGGGTGTTTTCTCTCTCTCTGCCTCTCTGGAGAGTGCAAGCCCCCTCTGGCAAAATTTAAAATAAATAAAATGACAATAAGAAAATGGGCAAACTGAAAGCACACTACCTCTAAAAAACCATAATTAGAGTATCTTGTTACTCCTTCTAAATCCCCTTTTTTTTTCTTTTTTAATACGTTTTTAATTTATTATTTGTTTAGTTTGCTTCCAGGCACACACACTTGTTGGAGAAACAGAGATAGAAAGGCAGCAAACAAGAGAGGAAAAGGTGAGAAATCACCCCCCAGAATTAAAGAGTGAAATACTCCCCCAATCCCCACCCCTCCGGCCAGGAGGGATGGCCATGCCACAGTCCCTTCTCATCCTTTTACCTCTTGGGATTTGGAGCACACATGCATATGTTCCAGGTCCAGATTTCAAACCGTGGTCAGACATGTGAGAGTCCAATGCCTTAACTACCAAACTACCTGCTGGCTCCACCACTGAGTAGCTTTTTTTTTTTTTTTTGGTATGAATAGGAAGCTATGAATATGAAGCTAATTTTTAAAAAAAAGACTAAAAATTATCTCTACTTCAAAAATATTTCCTATTAATACTATTTATTAATTTAAAAGGAATCTACGCTCTAAGGTACAAATTAACATGTACACAGTGACTATAAACATGTAAAAGTGTGTGTGAATATGGGCAAAATCATCTAATTAATTTGTAAGGGTATATACAGAAGACCACTTTAACTGTGTTCTTTTGAATTACCAATATAAGTTCCTTTTATCTCTATGATTTACATGCCAGCAAATATGCCAAACCTCAAGTTACCTTAAATGTACAAGATGAGAGGCCAGCAGGTGGCGTGGTGATTAAGCTGCTGGACTCCCACAAAGCTGACCACAGCTCCATGCTGAACCCAACAGCTTGAAAATCACGCCAGGCCAGGAACAGCATGTGTCATGGTTAAGGCAGCTGGATCCCACATGGCTAACTTCGTGGTTCAAGTCCTGATCAATGGCTTCAAAATCACAACAGGGACGTGTGCGTGCATACGTGCCCAAACTCCTGAGAGGAGAATAATGGAGAAGGGACTGCAGTATGGCCATACTCTCAGAGGATGATTTCTCATGTTCTCTCTCTCTCTCTCTCTCTCTCTCTCTCTCTCTCTCTGGTGACAAAAAAAATAAAATAAAAATAAAAAATAAAAATATTTTTTTAAAAAGCACATGATAAAAATTTACTATTAATTCCAAAGATTATCAGAACATAATACAATATAATTCTAATTATTCAGTGTAAGGTGATTACCTGCTTTCAACTGCTGCTTAGAAATACACAGTTGATTAGGCACATCTGTGTTAAGAGACAAGTTTAATAACTCTGCACTCAAATCTTCTTTACTGAGTGACTTCACACCACTTATTAGGCCTTTGCTTCTTAAATTTCTATCATCCCTGGGGTAGAAGTTAGGAGAAAAATATTTTATAAGATAAACCACATGAGAATCCAAAACACATGAGATACATAGTCAGTTTGGTAATTCTCAGCATAAGCATTAAAAAGGATTTTTTTTAAAAAATAGAGATGATAGAAGAACCTACACACAGGAGAGTCTTATAGGGATAATAACTATATATATATATATTTAAATAAAATATATTAAAAACAAAACTCTGAGATAGGTATAATGCCAATTTTACCTCCCTTTCACAGATGGGAACGGGTATAAAAAAGTTAAATAACTTATCCAAAGATATACCCAGAAAACGAAGGAAAGAGAAAAAAACACAGAGAACCATAATAAGAGAAACAATTCATACCAGGTAGATAATTACAAATTTATTCAAAATGAGCATGAGACAAGTAGTTTAAGCATGTCTTACTAGAGTGTCTCAAATTTCTTTTTTTTTTTTGATTCTGGAATATTTGCATATATATATTGAAGTATCTTGGGGACGGGACTACATATAAACATCAAATTAATTTATGTTTTATACATAGTTTAAACACATCTAAAGAGAATTTTACACAACATTTTTACAATACAGCATTTTGCCTCCAACCATTACATGAGGTCATGTTTGGAATTTTCCATTGTGGTATGGCATTATGCAAGCACCAAGAAAATATCAGATTTTGGAGCACTTCAGATTTCAAATTTTTGAATTAGAAAAATTCACCCTATAGTGTGAAACTGCTGTTTCCTGAAAGCCAGTATGATCAGAATGAATGCGTGAGTTTAGGAGGTTACAGAGAAAGGCAGACCTATCTTCATCAGACTAACCTTTGCACAGAGGAGAATTATAAAGTCATGGAAATGTCTGATAAAGAATTTAGGATATTAATAGTGACAAAGCTAACAGAGATGGAAGAGGAGAGAGACAATGAACTGCAGAAGAGGCAGGAGAAAGGAGCTGACAAGTTCCAGGAGGTGAGGAAGTTCTTGCAAGATCTAAACGAGGAAATACACGCTATAAAAAAGAATCAAATGGACCTGTTAGAGATGAAGGCTATAACACAGGAAGTCAAAATTTCCCCTGAAAGTATTAAAAGCAGACAAGATCATACAAAAAATTTAATCTCAGATATAGAAGATAGAATTACTGACCTAGAAAAATCCACCACGAAGACCGAGAAAATTGCCCAAAAAATGAGAATCTACAAGAAATATTCGATACCATCAAACGTCCAAACATCCAGATAATTGGTATCCCAGAAAGTGAACGGACTCCTAAGGGCATTGATAATCTATTCCATGAAATCCTTGGCAAAAACGTTCCAAACCTAGAGAAGCCTTCAAAGATCCAGTCCCAAGAAATACAAAGGAACCCAAAGAGAATCAATCCAAGAAGTTCTCCAAGACACATTATAACGAGATTGAACAAAACCACAGACAAAGACAAGATACTAAGATTGGCAAGAGAGAAACATCAAGTTACCTACAAAGGATATCCCATCAGGCTCACAGTGGACCTCTCATTGGAAACAATGTGAGGAAAGAATGGGAAAATATATTCAAAATGTTAAGGGAAAAGTATTTCAGCCAAGAATACTATACATACCAGCAAGATTATCCTTCATATGGGGAGAAAAGACAAGGACATTGTAAGATAAACAAAACCTGAAAGAATTTACCAACACCAGACCAGATCTCCAAGAAGTTCTCAAGGGAGTGCTATACCAGAAAATTTAAATACAGACACACAGAAATAAGATTTCAAAAGCTAAGAAAATGGCCTACATAATCAGAGGGACAAGTCTGAAGTTGAATATTATATCCCAGAATTTAATTGGAAAGATCAAACCACAACAGAAAACAGATTTATATGAGACTGAACTGGTAAAATAACATTTTATGACTTTTGACTAAAACATTGCTGACTTTCTTCTAAGCTTTGTTTTTCGGTTTTAAGGATTTTTGTCCTGCCTTGAGCTGCCAATAGGTTCATGCACCTACTATTTCAACAGAATCTTAACCTGTTTCCTTGCTTTAATTTTTAAGCAAAATTCCTTAGGATTTCTTTGATTTACTAAAGCTAAAACTGCTTTTCTTGAAATTAAAAATATATATTAAAAAATACCTATTTAATGACTGTAGTAAACTATACAGCATCAGCTAGGTGCTACTTAATAGTATATTCATTCTATTCAGAGTTTCACGCCTAAAGTCAGACATGTATTCATGGATATGGATATGCCAGCTGAACTTGCTATTGAAAGTAGCTATTTAAGAAATTTTGTGAATCATAAAATGTGGGAAATAAAAAGAATGGAAAACAACTGTAGACACCTGATACAGTATGGGAGGAAGGTGGGAAATAGGGGTAAAAAATATATATATATATATGTGTATGTATGTATATATATATATATGACACTAGAAATGGAAAATTATTGCTGATAACATGTATGATTAAGTCACTATGCAGTATATTCACATATACTGGATGGGAATTCACATTTTGTATGCTGCAATAATGCTCAGGGAATGAATGTAAACTAATTAATTTTTAAAAATGTTTCAGAAGAAAATTACATGTAACCAGACTCTAGCTTTGTCCATATTTTTAGCATAAGGTATTTTGTTAATCCATAAAATGTGGAAAAAAAGTTTAGTATGGAAGGGAGAGAAAGGGAAGGGGAAGGAAAAAACAAGTAAAAGTATGCTTAATTGACCAAAAAAATGAGAATCTATTTGCTGATAAGATGTAGAGTCTCTGGCTTGACTGACAAGCACAGCATTTGTGCTGGAAAAAGAAATGTTTTACAGTGTAAAGATGTGATTAAAAGTAAATTAATAAATTAATTTAAAAAATAAAATATAGACCAAAAAAAAATAGTTGGGTCAGGCTGCAGTAGTGTGTACTGGACTCTGTTGCTCAGCAGAATGAAGCCACGGGGGAAACCCAGGCTCCATTCCCAGGCTACCCTAAAAAGCCAGGAGTGGTGGCATGTGCCTATAGCCCCAGGTATGGGAAGCTGAGGTGGGAAACTCACGACACAGTGAGACTGTGCGTGTGTGATCAACACAGGCAACATAGTGTGACATGTTCTGAAAGAGCTGGGTGAGCTGTCAGCAACCTGTGGTCCCAGCTACTCAGGAAGCTGAGGCAGGAGGACGGAAACAAGGACACTCTGTGGGTAGAAAAAAAAGAAAAAAAACACTCCCACCAAATACAAAAACAATTTGAAGGCAGTAGATAGAGGGCATAAAAGTGTAGGCAAAAGCAAGAAGTCAATTCTGGAGGCACAGAAACTGCATTAGTGAGATTAATAAGCCCCTTTTTGCCTGAGAGTAGTTCCCAATCCATCAGTGGCTTAGGACAAAAGAAAGTCACTCCTTCAGTGGCTTAAATGTCAGAAAGTAATGTTTAAGACTGACCAGAGTAACCAGAAAGCTAAGGAGGAAACTGAAGGAAAAAAGCCATAGAGCAAATGAGCCCCAAAATCTGCATATAAATTCTACCCTGAAAAAGTAACAGACTGGGACCAGCAGTTAGCATAATGGCTATGTTGCTGAACTCCCATGTAGCCGACCAGGGTTCAAGTCCCGGACCCGGTGGCTTAAACTCACACCAGGTGCATGTGCATGCGCGCCCAAGATCCCAAGAGGAGAATGGAGGAAAAGGGATTGCGGTGTGGCCATCCTCCCTGGGGGGTGATTTCTCGCTTTCTATCTCTCTGCCTCTCTCTTCCTGGCATGCGCACATGCCCTATAGCAAAAATACCCCCCCCCCAAAAAAGCAACAGGCTATCAAAAAACAAAGCAATCAACAGAACGAGACTCAACTATAACACAGACATAGAAGATAACTGGACAAGGTTTAAACAATTTTGATTAATATATTAAAGGCTCTAATAAAAAGTAAATAGAATGCAAAATCAGACAGGCAGTTTCAGCAAAAATAAAACCATAAGAACAAGGGCCAGCAGATGGCATAGTGGTTAAGTCACTGAACTCCCACATGGCTGACTGTGGTTCAAATCCCAGACCTGGCAGCTTGCTTTCTCACTTTCCCTTTCTCTGGTTAAATTAAATAATAATAATGATAATAATAATAATACTTTTTAAAAATATAAGAATGAAACGGAAATGCTAGCAATAAAAAAGCACTGTAACAGGAATGAATGCTCTGGACAGGCTCATCAACAGACTCAATGAAGGTGAGGAAGGAATCAACAAATGTGAAGACAGATCAAAAGAAATTATCCAGACTGAACCAAAAAAGGCAATAAAAGATTTTTGTTTGTTTTTTAAATAGAAAGCATCCAAGAGCTGTGGGACAATATATTAGGTTATCAAAAAAGTCATGACGTGTTTTTCTGTATTTCTATGCAAAAATGCATCATGACTTTCCCAACAACCCAATATGTTGTTGTAAGAGCCTACTACATTATCTGAAGACAGCCTTTCTTCAGTTAAAGATGTATACGGTACATACTATAGCAATCACCAAAGGTTTTTCAAAAATGAATGAGTTAAGTCATTAATGGAGACAGAATGATATCCTAAAAAAAATCACAATTCAACAAAATAAATTTTAAAAAGGGAGAAAAGGACAGGAAGACTAAACAGAAAAAAATGAGCAAAATGCTAGAGTTTAACCTCACAAATTAAAGTATATGGTCTAAACTCATGAATTAAAAGACAGACATTGTCAAATTGGCCAAAAAATAAACAACCAACTATATGCTATCTATAAGAAACTTACTTTAAATATAAAGGTGCAAGTAAGGGCCACTATCAAGGTGGTGTGGTAGTTAAAGCACATAGCCAAGCACATAGTTCATGTCCTGGACCTAGGGGCTTAAAAAACATGCTGGGTAGGGGCCAGCAGGTGGCATGGTGGTAAAGGTGCTGGATTCCCACATGGCTGACCACAGTTTGAATCCCAGACCTTGTGTTCTCACTTTCTCTCTCTTTCTCTGGTGAGTTTAAATGCTGTCTAGCGAA